CCCCTTGCTAGAACTAATGTTGCAAAAACCTGCCCTGATTTGATATCCGCTAACCCAATTTAGCCAAATTTGGTTCCTATTGACCCCTATTGCCAGGCTCCTGGTTCTTTGATGCCAATGTCTGGCACATCATTCGAAAGGGCTTTGAAAGCCCTATCCAAGTGCAGAGCGGCGCCGAGATTCCTGCTACTAACCAATCACAAACCTGCAAAAAATGCAGGTAGTAGGCAAGGTATACACCAAGTCTTGAAGCTTCTCTTTATATTCCTATATAGCTGAGTTTTGGAGTTAGAAAGCTGAAATTTCGCAGACATATAGATGTACTATCTGACTACATGCCTGTGAAATTTCAGCTCCCGGACTTGAAAATTCGTCGAGTTATGGCCCTTGACTGGAGCTTGGTCAACTTGGTATTTGGAGTTTTCCACTTTGCAAGCTTATATCTCAGCAACTAAGGCTTCAATTGACATGCGGTTAATTTTATCATCTACGGGAACCATTTCTGCGTCATACTACTAAGTTTCATTTACATGACTTCAGTAGTTTTCTCTACAGAATTGCCGCACGATTTCGACTTTGTGTCTAGAACCTGCTTTTCCTGTATAGCGTCCACATGACATTTCGGACTTGAGATTTTCTACTTGATCTAGTCATTTCCCATTATTCTAAAGCCAATGACACCAAGTTTTTCCAAATCCAACTACAACTTTTCTTGAGAATGACTTTTTTGGAGGGCCATTTTCACTTGGTTCTTAAAGGGTTAAAATTTGGACTTTGCAACTTGAATTTTTATGAGCTATTAGCTGATTCAGTCTACTTTCATGTCCTCAAATTTCAAAAAGATCCAACTTGTACTTTTGGAGTAATAAGCCTTACAAGTAGCCAACCCCTCTTTGTGCCCAAGCCTTTTTGGACTTGAAAATTTTCCAATTTTTTTTTTTTCTTTTTTTTGGTTTTTTACCTTCTAATTATGTGTCTGATGACTTTCTCATGTTCAAAATGGTGCTATTTTAGTTTTAAAGTGCTCTTTGATAGTTTTCAGGCAGCAAGTTCATCTGATGGCACCGCGCTTTGACGTCAGACATGGCACTGTCATTCCGCAGCTTCGTGCCAAGTTTGGTGTCCGTTGGATAATTAGGCGAGAAATGAGAGCGAAAAAGATTGGTCATTGAAAACGCGTTTTCTGAGAAAACACTTTTTTTTCTTTCTTTTTGTCTAAAACAACTAATGCAAATCCTCTACCTAACCCGAAAGAAGACTCTAAAGGCAGCTAAACCTTGTTTGCACAGAAATAGACATATGGCCATCCCTACCAAACCCTAAAATAAGTCCCAAAACTATCATATTGGACTCTGAATATGCATTTCTCTTCGATGCGAGCAATTTTTTCTGCTCAATTTCTAAATTTTGGTTATTTTGGCCAATGTTTCATGTCAATAAAACCTGCCCCACAGTTAGAACTAGTGTCATTGATGTCTCTAATACCTTGCCCCATTGCTAGAACCCATACAACTGTTTTCCTTATCTGAACATTCAATGCCAATCTGCAGGCCAATTGCTGCGGTTCATATTTCTTCGAAATAATTTTCTCAACTTGCATGCCAAATTTCAAAGTCCTCCTACTCTTCTTTCTGTTTCTTATTTCTCTTTGTCCTCTTTGTTCTTTCTTCAATGTAAACTCTTTTTCAGCCCTAAAGACACAGTTTTGAGACCAGGTTGTTGAAATTTGGCTTGCAAGTCTGTCTGGATGGTACCATGGACCATGCCAAATTTCAACTTTCTGCTGTCAATTTTCACCTTTTTTCTGCCTGAGCACAAGTCAACAGCAGCCTTTTGTCACTTTTACCTTTGACTTATTGTTAGAACCACTGTCAATAATACCTGCCCTGATTTAGAACCCACATTGTCTACAGTGGATGTCACTTTTACCTTGCCCTGTGCTAG